ATGGAGATGGCATCGGGTGGGAGTGGCCCTCCTGGCTGGCTTCTGTTCCACCCGCCCGTCTCCTGGATGCAGTGCGTGAGTGCTTCTCATGCATGGAGAATGTTGCCCTGTGACAGGCCACGCCGAGTTTGTCCCCTCGCCAGTCAGTCGGAGGACACCGGGCTGCTCTGCGACGGGGGAGCGTGCAGCTGGGGGGAGCAGGCCCTGAGAGTCCCCGTGGCCGGGGTTCCAGGTGACTCACAGTCTTGACACCATGGCTGGTGTGCTGTGGCCACGTCCCCTCCCTTCTCTGCTGGACTCCCGTCCTTGCCTCCTCCACGTAGCTGGCACAACAGGGCAGCACGGGGACCCACAGTGTGGCAGCGGCAGTTAGGACCAGGGGCCTGGCTCCCAGCCCTCACCTGACCCTGAGGACGCCCAGCTGCCATCTCTGTCCTGGACACCAAAGCCCCTCCCCACAGGGAGGGAATCTGGGGACAGCGCCCTGTCCCTGGGGCTCCAGCCTGCGTTCCCTAGGGGCCTGGAATCCCACCAGACCCCGCTGGGCTCCCATCCCAGGAAAACTGAAGCCCTGTTAGGGCCTGAGCTGAGCCAGGAGGACTCCCTGGTGACAGCTGGTCCCCATGCTCCGTCCCAGGGAGTGGATCACTCCGTCCTGGGTTTAAGAGATGCTCAGAGGACGCCTCTGCCTCAGCCAGCTGTGAGGGGCCCGCAGACGCAGACCTAGGGCTGGCCTTCTAGAAGCAACCATCCAGGTGGGGTTGGGGCTAACAGCAACCTGAATCATGATTTAATAACACTGCCTGTCACGTGGCCACTTGAGAGGTAGGAAATGCAGGTTCAGAGAGGGCAAGGGACTTGTCCAAGACCACACAGCTGCAAAGACTCAAACCCAAGTCCCAAACCAGCTTATGACTAAATGTAGGCTGTGGAGCCGGGAAAACAAGAGCCGCTGAGCCTCGGGCGGCCCTGAGGCCTTGTGAACTCACCAGGTGCTCACTGCAATGGCGCCATGATCCCCCATTTTACAGGTGGGGAAACTGAGGCACGGAGGGCGTAACTGACCCGTGGAAGCTCCCTGGGCAGGGAGTGTGGCCCCGACTCTATGGGCTTCAGTGGGTCTGGAAGAGGAAGACGTTCTGCTGCCCAGAGGGCTTGGCACGGAGCCCCCGCTGCGTGGCTGCACTTCCCACAGGATGCAGGGCACAGAGCTGGGGCCTGGGGGCCCTGAGCCCCAACGAGACCCCCCAGCAGGCCTCCTGGGCATCTGGGCTGCGGAGAGGGCGGGAGGACGCATTCTCAGGTTCCAAGGGGGGGGGCTGCCTTAGAAAAACAGGCTCCAAGATGCGACAATGAGCTGGGTGCATAATTCATGCGTCTGTCACAGAACATCAGTCCTGGGCCTTCCCCGAGTGACCTGGGGTTAGAAACTGGAGCAGGCTCCCCGCAGCCTCGGAGGAAAACAGGTCCTCCCGTGTCTTAAAGGGACACGCTCTGCTCCCGGAGTCCGCGCCTTGCACACAGGCGCCCCCTTCCAGGAGTCAGAGACGGGAGCAGCTCCCAAAGGGCTCAGCCGAAGGCCACTGGCTGCCCACAAGACCCGACCCCCTCTGTGCCCAGCCAGTGCCAACAGCTCTACACGCCCCCACGCTGCCACCTGTGAGGGGCTGCCCCTGGCACGTCCCAGGATCCCTGGGCCTTGGTACTCTCGGCTTTTCAGGCCTGTGCTTCTGGGCATCGGTGGATATCGCACAGCACCCTGAGCCACCGGCCCAGGTCAGTAGCACCCTGCCCCCAGCTGTGACAACCGAAAGTTTCTGCAGAAATTGCTAGGTGTCCCCTGGGGGTCAAAATCGTTCCCAGCTGAGAATCATGGGATGCAGCCTTCCGATGCTCCAGGTCACCCAGCCAAGGAGGTCAGAACTGGGGCCAGCCGCAGGGCCCGCTCCCCTGCCCTCTGCTCGGGAGCTCCAGAGTCTGCCACCATAAGTTTATTCCAGGGACTACTCATTCATTTTGATGGGTATTTAGTGCATGAATCAATAGCATGAAAAATCAGCCATTTGCATATATATGCATACTATTAAGGCTAAAGTACCGCCTGGAAGGTAGATGGGGGTCTTGTTTTGTTTTGCTATTCACCTTCACCTTTAGGGAAAGAGTGGTCCACGGAGCGGAAGGGCACACGCAGTGAGGTACCCCGACAGGGACGATCTGTTTAGAGGCGCGCATATTCGTAAGGAAAACTATGCACAAAAGCAAAAGGAAAAGAAACTCCTTACAGCAATTGCCTCTGGGGTGGAGGGGGGACACCAGGGGGTATCAGCGTCACTGCTACCGGCTCCTATCCCCAACTTGGTGGTGGCTTCATTAGTGTCAGACGCTACATGTGAAGCGGCGCTGCTCTCGTATGTAACAAAGATTTCATTTTACAGTGATCACAAATTTTTTTCTTCCAATGGATGCAAATCAGGACACTAGGACTCAAAAGCTCGTTGTTCTGAAAACAGAGGACACTTTGGGGGTAACTGTAGCGAGAGTGCAAAAGCGGGGGAGGCCCGAGGCTGGGGGAGCGCCCCGGCAGCGCACCCCACCTTCAGAGCCAGCTGTTCTGCGCAGGCGCAGAGCTCCGCCCGGGGCATCCCTAACCCAGGCAGGGACGTCCCCTTCCAGGTGGAGGGCTGAAGCCTGGCCCTGGCCTTCCCACTTGCGCCTCCGTGGACTTGTGCGATTAACCTCTGTCGTGGGTCAGTGCCTGAGCAGGCTCTGGGCGCCGAGGTAAACCTCAGAACCAGCTCACGTCCCCAGTGCCCACAGGTTCTTGGCAGCAGCAGGGACGTGTGTGGTGAGTGTCCCCAGGTATGGCAAATGATGCCGGCCCTGAGGACGGAGGGGCCGTCCCTGCCTAGGGAAAGCAGGGGCGACCTCAGAGGGGAGGAGCCTGGGCTGGGTTTTAAATGATGGGTCCGACGGAATTCCCCGACAGAGGCCAGAGGCCCCGGCTCGCAGAACCTACCCACAGAGGCACGTGGCAAGGCTTGGGGAAAGGGGTCAGAGGCAACAGGAAGCCATGCATCCTTCCTGGGGCCAGAGACCTCATGCTCACCCACGCTGGGACAGGTTTACGTACAGGGTACAGCAGGCCACTCAGAGGCCACTCAGAGGCTGGCAGTGGGGGCCAATGCACCGCTCACGCGGGGACGCGTCTGTCCACACAGCAGCTCTCTGGGGCATGTATGGTTGTGACCATCCCATTTTGCAGATGAGAAAACTGAGGCTTTTCGAGGTTAAATAGCTTGTCCAAGGTAAGGAAGTGGCAGAGCTGGGGCTTGGGAAGCCAAGGTAGGCAGGCACCAGTCCCCGTGCTCCTAACTGCTGCCCACCCGGCCTCTTACGTTGCTCCCGTGGCCCCACTGCCCCTCCTCTGCCTCTTGCCTTCCTTCTCTGGTGTCTCTGGAAGAAGGTTGGGCTTTCTCCAATTTTTTGTGCCCTCCCTGACCCCTGCAGCTTGGGACACACTTGCTTGGGGCATGGGCTTCTCCTGACGCTGGTTCAGTTCTAGATTCTACCTGACTATCCTGTCCAAAGGTCACCCTTCTGTCACTCACACCCCTCCCACATCCCCGAGTACAGATTCTCAGAGACAGGTTGGCTGAGCCCTGGGTACTGGCCGGCTCAGCCTGGATCCTCTGCCACCCTGGGCTGACCAGCGCTAGGCAGGAGGAAGCAGCCAAGCCTGGCAGCAGGGCCCGTCCCTTCAGTTGGTCAAGGGAGGGTGACTCTCCAAAAAGAGGGCGGGTGAGCGGCCCAGGAGGCATGCTCAGGGTTTGGGTCTTGCCCAAGAGTCCTGGAGACTCACTCAGCCGAGAAGTAATGTGACTGAATTTGTATTTTTTAAAAAAGACCCCAGAGCAGTCCCTCCCACCACCCACAGCCTGGATTCCATTTCCATTCCCACAAACATCCACTGAGACTCCTTTGGACCAAACACTCTTCTTTTGTGTGTGTGTGAATGTAGGAACCAGAGATTGATCCCAGGGGCACTCGACCACTGAGCCACATCCCAGTCCTTTTTTTATTTTTTATTTTGAGACAGGGTCTTACTAAGTTGCTGAGGCTGGCTTTGAACTTGCCATCCTCCTGCCTCAGCCTCCTGAGCCACTGGGATTATAGGTGTGTGCCACTATAACAGTCCCAAGCCCTGTTCTTGCTGCAGGGGATACAGTGGCCGTTAAGACAAGGTCCTTAGTCCCAGCAGTTCATAGTCCAACCAAGAGTTAATAATGTGGATCCAGGATGTCTGGCCTCCTTGAAAACCACCTGCTAAATTTCATGTTTGAGCATCTTTCTAGCCAAGGGGTCTTTTGCTTTTGTCTGACCTTTAACCTAGCCTTGAGAGCTCATGCTCTGGGGTCAGACTGACCTGGGTTAAAATTCCGTCTCTGCCACTTGCTAGATGCCACTTTCTAGTTTCCCCATTTGGTCAATGGAGTGAATATTATTTAATTGGGTTACTGTACAAATGGGGACAGTATCACGTGGCAAGTGTCTGACACACGCACCCACAAAGGGCAACTCCCAGTATCATTAGCACCAGGCCGCACAAGCAGCGCCCACCCAGGAATCCCATAAACCACCTGTCTAGCTCAGGAGCCAGGTCCAGACCACTGCCTATTTTTAAATAAAGTTTTATTGAAACACGACTGTGCGCATTTGTCTCTGTGCTGTCCCAGCTGCTCTCATGCCACACCTGCAGAGTCCAGTGGTGGCCAGAGAGGAGGCAGGGGTGGCCCCTGGTGTCCTGGTCAGCTGAGGTCCTTTCAGACCTCTGGCTCTCCATTTTCACACCCGGAGGATAAATGGACTTGAGTGAGTCCTCTTTCGGGCTCAAGACTCGATCATTAAGTGACAAGCGGGTGGGGAAAGCTCGCAGGCCCTGCAGACACCAGGGTCACCGTGACCTTCGGTCGTGCTAACTCGCTCCTCCCTTCTCCTCGCAGATCCTGGCCATCATCTCCATCATGTTCATCGTCCTCTCCACCATCGCCCTGTCCCTCAACACGCTGCCTGAGCTGCAGAGCCTCGATGAGTTTGGCCAGAGCACGGACAACCCGCAGCTGGCCCACGTGGAGGCCGTGTGCATCGCGTGGTTCACCATGGAGTACCTGCTCCGCTTCCTGTCCTCGCCCAAGAAGTGGAAGTTCTTCAAGGGCCCCCTCAACGCCATCGACCTGCTGGCCATCCTGCCCTACTACGTCACCATCTTCCTCACCGAGTCCAACAAGAGCGTGCTGCAGTTCCAGAACGTGCGCCGCGTGGTCCAGATCTTCCGCATCATGCGCATTCTCCGCATCCTGAAGCTCGCGCGCCACTCCACCGGCCTCCAGTCCCTGGGCTTCACCCTGCGCCGGAGCTACAACGAGCTGGGCCTGCTCATCCTCTTCCTCGCCATGGGCATCATGATCTTCTCCAGCCTCGTCTTCTTTGCTGAGAAGGACGAGGACGACACCAAGTTCAAAAGCATCCCGGCCTCTTTCTGGTGGGCCACCATCACCATGACGACTGTCGGGTACGGAGACATCTATCCCAAGACTCTCCTGGGGAAGATAGTGGGGGGACTTTGCTGCATCGCCGGGGTCCTGGTGATCGCTCTTCCCATCCCCATCATCGTCAACAACTTCTCCGAGTTCTACAAGGAGCAGAAGAGGCAGGAGAAAGCCATCAAGCGAAGAGAGGCTCTGGAGAGGGCCAAGAGGAATGGCAGCATCGTATCCATGAACATGAAGGATGCTTTTGCCAGGAGCATTGAGATGATGGACATCGTGATTGAGAAAAATGGAGATAAGAAGGATAAACTCCAAGACAACCACTTGTCTCCCAACAAGTGGAAATGGACAAAGAGGACACTGTCCGAAACCAGCTCCAGTAAGTCCTTTGAAACCAAGGAGCAGGGATCCCCTGAGAAGGCCAGATCGTCTTCTAGTCCTCAGCACCTGAATGTCCAGCAGCTGGAAGACATGTACAATAAGATGGCCAAGACCCAGTCCCAACCCATCCTCACTACCAAGGAGTCTGCAACACAGAGCAAACCAAAGGAAGAACTTGAAATGGAGAGTATCCCCAGCCCTGTAGCCCCTCTGCCCACGCGCACGGAAGGGGTCATTGACATGCGCAGCATGTCGAGCATCGACAGCTTCATCAGCTGTGCCACAGACTTCCCCGAGGCCACCAGGTTCTCCCACAGTCCTCTGGCTTCACTGCCCATCAAGGCTGGGGGCAGCATGGCTCCAGAGGTGGGCTGGCGGGGAGTCCTGGGGGCCAGCGGGGGCCGGCTGGGGGAGGCCAACTCCACCCCCGACGGCAGCCACTCCTCGAGCTTCCTCATCGAGAGCCCCAAGAGCTCCATGAAGACCAACAACCCCCTGAAGCTCCGAGCACTCAAAGTCAACTTCATGGAGGGGGACCCCAGTCCCCTGCTCCCCGTTCTGGGGATGTACCCCGACCCTCTTAGGAACAGGGGGGGCGCTGCAGCCGCTGTCGCAGGACTGGAGCGCGCCACCCTCCTGGACAAGCCCGTGCTGAGCCCAGAGTCCTCCGTCTACACCACGGCAAGTGCTAGGACGCCCCCCAGGTCGCCCGAGAAACCCACAGCAATAGCATTCAGCTTCGAAGCCGGCGTCCACCAGTACATCGACGCCGACACGGACGACGAGGGGCAGCTGCTCTACAGCGTGGACTCCAGCCCTCCCAGGAGCCTCCACGGGGGCACCAGTCCCAAGCTCAGCCTGGGCCCCAGAGCGGACAAGAACCACCTCGAGAGCTCCCCGGTGCCTACCTCCCCCAAGTTCCTTCCGCAGAACTGCCTTTACCCCGCGGAGGCGCTGACTGGAAGGGGCCCCGGGGCCCAGGAGAAGTGCAAACTCGAGAACCACCTCTCCCCCGACGTCCGGGTGCTGCCCGGGGGAGGGGCCCTGGGGAGCAGCAAGGATCAGAGCTTGTGAACTGGCCGCGGAGGCCAGCGTGCAGGTGGGGCCCAGGGGGGAGGGCGGCTGGCTGCTGCCGCAGAGCTCTCCCGGGTGGACTCGGGACAGAGAGTCTCTGCAAAGCCCCCAGGGACTCCAGAGAAGGTCCCCTAAGACCCGGAGAGCCAGGACAGGCCCGTCAGCATGAAACCGGCCATGCCGGGGAGGACAGCGGCTCCCTGTACCAACCCTGCTGCCCTCTGTGGGAGATGACAGGAGCTCACAGCCGCCACCACCGCAGCGCCACCTAACTGAGGCCACCCACTCCCCGCTCTTCTCTCGAGGCTGTCTGTCACGGCCTCCGAGGGCAAGTGTCCATCGCCCCGGCTTCCGCGGGAGGAGAAACTAGAACCAGTGGCTGTTGAAAGAGTGGGTTGGCCGATTTGGTATGGGGTGTGGCGGGCCACCTCCAGGCCCACCTGCCCGTCACCTCCTGGATTGTCACCTCCTGGATGGATCCGCTGTTGGAAGGCTACTGAGAAAGCCTGTGTCGCCGGAAAGTCTCCGCGCCGCAAGTCCAGATCCCGGCGCAGACCTCACTCAAAAGACTTCACGGACTTCAGTGTCCCGTCGAGCCTGAGGTTTTGTGTTGAGATGTCATCAGGGTGAGTGGCACCATTTGTACTCAATTTTAATTGCCCCCAGCAATCTGGGAAGGGTTCAGAAGGAGGAACTCAGAGCTTTGGCCTAGGGATATAGGAGGAAGATGCTTCTGTGCTCGCTAGGGTAGACTGGAAAGATATGCAAGTGTCAAATATGCAAAAGAAATAGCTACTCAAAGAGACCGTGTGCTACCGAAGAACAGCATCAAATCCAATTTCTTTTTTTCTTTTCTTTCTTTTTTTTACCTGCAAAAATGCAAGGGAAAGAACACCCTCATTGAAATGCCTCATCCGGACTCCTGAATGCCTCCTGCTACAGCGGGGAGATCGCCTACTATGATAGAAAGTTCTTTTTGTTTCCTGTTATATTCAAGCTAAAAAAAAAAAATGTTAATAAAAAGCACTTTATGTTTTTCAAAAATAGTTCTACCAGGGACAGTGTCCACATCTTGCACTTTAAACAAGCACTATTTCCGGGGGCCACTTGCTGACCCTGTGGTTGGGTTGTGGCCACATGCCCATTCTGGCCACGGTGGGTACCACTGTCGGCCACACCAGAGTCTGTGGCTCCTTCCCTGCCCCTCTGGAGGCTCCTCCCCGCACCCCTCAGGGGGCAGGAGGGGCCAGGGCCTCCCCCAGACTCGAGTACAGGAGACGGGCGCACCTCAGAAGGTCGCAGCGACGGTTGGGCACCGGGTGTTCCACTCCGCTCTCTCTGTCCACCAGCCTTGGGTGTGTTTCAGTGTCTGTCCTGAAAGCTCAGCTGTCCCTCCTGCGGCCACCATGCAGACGGTGCAGACACAAGCAATAAGTCTCCGTGCGCATCCTGAGCGCTCTGCTCTGTTTCTTGCTGTTGGTCCTCTGTCCTAGCTTGATGACCTGGCGTTGTCCTGCCTGCTTTTAGTCCCATGGCGTGGCATTGTTGGCTGTCCCTCAGCGCAGTGACGTTGGGTTGGACCACTGTGGTGTCCGTCTGTCTGTCAGTAACGATGCTGTGTTCCAGTCTGCCCGTCTGCAGCACACGATAGTGCCATGTGGTTCTCTTAATGTGACGTTGGTGGGTGCTGTCCCAGGTCCAGTGGTGTGCTTCTGCCTGTCCTCGGTACAGTGCCAGACATGTGTCTTCCTGGTGGCTCGCCTGTCCTTCACTGGCTGGTCTGCCCACTGTACAACGGCATCACCTACCTGTCAGTACACAAGTATCACAGGGTTGTCCTGCCTGCTCTCCACTCAATGGCACGAGATTGGCCACCTGTCACACATATGATCATGTAGGATCATTTCCCACTCAAAAATACGTGTTCTCTGCTGTACAAGAACCAATTCAGACCACTTCTCAGCATCCCCAGGGACTGTGGATCCTCCCGAAAGGGAACAGTCCTGTTATCTGCTGATTTAACAAGGAAAAAAAGAACTCAGTTCTTCCTAGGGGTCTTCAGAGCATTCGCACAGCAAGCGCATAGGTCCTGGGGCAGGACAGTGTGAGGCCACCTGGGGCAGGACAGTGTGAGGCCACCCTATGTCGGTTGGCACATTGGAGGCAGGAAAGAGCAGCGCTTCCGAATCCTTCCTGGGTGTACCTCCGGGGCTGGGCCTGTTGAGGACGACTGGGGGACAGTCCTGGCCGGCATCTTTGTGTCTCTCTCGTTTCCATCACGTTTCTGTCCACCATCAGCACAAATGTGAAAATTCAGGGAAAACAATCAAATGCTTTTTGATAAAAGTAAATAGTTGTGATTTCTGATTCAGATATTTTTAGAGCTGATGCTATCTATAAAAAAAAATCAGTACCACTAACAATAATATAGTCTATTTTACATATCAGGAGAGCAAACATGTTTAAATATAGCCATATATTGCAAGAGGGAACTCACCACCCCTTCTTTAAACCAAGGCATTTCATGTTGGTTGAAGCAGATGAGGAGTGCACAGATTGGAAAGACCCTTCCTTCCTTCCGTCCTTCCGTCCTTCCTCCCTCCCCCCCCCGCCTTTTTTTTAACTAATAACCAATTGGTGCAACTCTCCTTGTAACCAAAGGCCCTTTCTGTCTTGTGTCACGCTGGACCTGGCCCCTCCTCCCTCGTGTGTGTTGTCTGACCTTAAAGTAGCATTTTATTGAGTCACTTTTGAAGGACGAATTCAGAAGTATCATTAAGAACCTACCTTTTCAGGCTGCATAGCCAGAGTCCTATATAGAGTTCTTATAGAAACAGAATCACTGAAATTCAGCATATACTATGCTTAGAGAGTACTCCATTGCAGTTTGGGTTCTCCCCTCCTTGACTCTGTGTGTGTTGTGGGAACACAGCTTCTACCCTGTGCTCAACTCAAAATAGAGTATCGTGACATTCCCCAGCCTTCCCCACCCCCCTCTGCCAAACAAAGGACATACCCAGATTCTGCACATGCATACGCCGACCTGAACCAGTGTACCCGTGCGGCCACGCACTGGGAAATCTACCCAAGGGTCCCCACTGGGAAGCGGAACTTGACGGACGGCCTTGGTAGTGAAGAGGAGAGCCGTGGTTTGGGGCAGCTGAAGAGGACTGGGGCCTGCCATCGGTCGCCATGTGTCGATGAACCCATCAGACACAGGAAGCAGGTGGACCCAAGCAGGCAAGACCGGCGGCTGGAGTTCAATGAAACTCACCATGAATCCAACTGAGCTGAACTTCCACCATCACCAGAAAGGGCTAGGGACCAGGCCACTGCATGCTCTGGTCACACCGGGAGGGTCTGGCCACCTGGGGGAGAGGAGGGCCAGCCCCGGAGGAGCCGCTCATTGGCCTTCTCCTCTTTGGGCAAAAGAGAAGAAGAGGTCTGTGGTGCCGTAGATGTCTCAGTGCCTTCTTTAGGAATTCTATCTTAAGCACACTTTTAAGGGGAAAGAAAAAGGAGAGAGAACACTTGTTCCCGGGAGGCCCCTGTCTCTAGAAAGATCGGGCACCAAGAGGGAAGAAGAAGAAGGAAGAGCAACAGAATCCTGAGGAGCCCTGTCCTTCCGACCGCTCAGCCTGCCCCCACGGCGGCTGGTGACACAAACTCCTTCCTGCGGTTCCCCAGTGTCCTCCGTGTCTCGGGACCCACAGCCTCGTCTCTGCCTTCCTCCTGATACGACCCGCTTTTCTAAGGGAAAACAAAACAGTGTTCTCTTCTGTAAAACCGAAATGTGCTGTTGATATTTGTAACATTGTATATTTCTGTCCTGCTCCGAGGTGACTGGGATGTCTAGTCCATGAACAAGCAGATGTTTAAAATTCACCACCGACGAGGGTCTCTGAAGCCAGATCCCCAGACCCCCACCCGCTTCCTCCCTCATTTCTCTGCCGACTAGACTCAAGCACCGTAACCCCAGGTTTTCCAGCCTCCATCAAAGGTGGCCACAGCAAAAGTTCCTCGCCTTCGGGGAGTTTAAAATGATTGTTTTTTGTAACTTCAAACTTGGCAGAAGAAAGAAGGGGCATTCCTGAATCCCCAGAAGGACAAGAAAGCTCCCCACCCCAAGCGGGTGTTTCCTCACCTGCCACCGCTTATGTGACTTTCATGTCACCCAGCGGGATGACCCAACCCAGCCCTGGCCACATCCAGAAATAAGAGTCAACCTCGGCGCACCTTCGTGGTTCTCCTGGCTCTAAAAGCATCTGATGTGTGACTATGTCACAGAATGACCACACATCTCAGAGTAGTCTATTTTTCTGTTCAGATAAAAAAATATATATATGTATATGTATTTTTAGCAAATTTATAATAGGGCAATTGAGTCTAATTTCTTCTTTTGCAATACAGAGTGGTATCTTAGGAGTCTCATGGTTGGATATTATCCTAGCTGATATTTTCTGATCTTTTTCATTTCCTCCCAGAGTCCTTTGGGCTTTTTTCTTTTCTTCCCGTGGATGCTGATTCTCTGGAGGTGGGAAGACTTGGGGTCTGACTTCCTGCCTGTAGGCCTTTCCGGGCACTAGGAAATGTCTGTCTCTTACCTCATTCCATCTTTGTGTTTCTCCTACTCGTTGTTCTCTAGAACCCAGGGCTCAGATGCAGGAGCGAGAGGAGGGGAGTCGGTAACATTGACCCTCAAAGTCAGCCCTGAGCTGACTCAGGGCTGAGCTCCTACCCCCACCCTCCAGGAATCTGAAAGGTCTGTTTTTTTCCTCCCCCCAAATCTTGGAACCAAAAGCCTCATGCAAGCAAACTCGTCCCTGGCTTCTCTGAGGTCCAGACCACTCCCAAGTCCATCTCGGTCAGACTGCTCCCACGACCAGTGTCCAGCTCCCGGTACCACCAACCAGACCTGAAGACCAGAGCGTGTTCAGGTTTCTCTGAACCACAGAAAACCATGCTGGGCCCCAGATCTCCTCCACTTTGCATCAGCCCCTCATTTCAATCCACTTCTAACTGAGAAACAGTGGTCACACACCCTTGCAGCCAAGAGACAAGAAGAGATGGCCCCCAAATCTGCTCTTTCCTCTCCCCTGGCCTTTCCACCTGCCTGGCTGGATTAGTCTCAAGGGCAGCAGTACTTTTCCAGCTTCTGCCTGTCCGAGCCTGAAGAGGCTTTGCACTGTCCTGATAACTAGTTCCACGAGGCAGTTTTTACCATGGGTGGGCAGAGGACAGCTCACTGAGCAGGACCTTCAGCAGAAGGTGATTCTCTGCCCACGGGCTCATGCAGGACCATGAAGAAGGCCCTCTGATCATTCAGGCTTTAGTGTCCCACCTGCCTTCCTGTCTCTGGGCTCTGCCCAGAATAGAGATCTGAGCCAAACCAAGACCCCCAGATAGCAGTGACCCAGCCCCTAGCATGGATCCCCAGAGGAAGCCAACACAAATAGGAATTTGTGCCTCTGGTTTATGCTCCTATTTGGAATCCCCCCCGCCCCACAAAATCCCTGGCAATCTGGAATAAATACAAATAAGATAAAATAAAGCTGACAAGATTTTTTTAACTTTTGCCTCAGAACAACAAAATTACCTCTCAGTCGTTTCCTGGGTTCGGTACCCAGATAGGCAAACCCCCTGGCCCTGGCCGTCTTCACTGGGAAAGAGGGTGCTGTCTGTGTTTCTGTCCACCATCCCCGATGTGCTCTGAGCTTGGAATTTCTCCTGAACTTTCCAAAATGGCATCTTGGAGAACTGAAATGGAAAAGGGCTCTGTTAATTGAGAGAACCCTCCTCTTCACCCGGGAGCCTAACTCTCTTCTTGCCTGCCACGTTCCTGAAAAGATCCCCAAAGGCTGGCCGGGGGGTTGGAGGTGGGACATTGACCGGAAGAAGAGACCACCCAGCTGCCAGATGGCTGCATGCGGGACTCCGACGGGTTCTCTTGCATGAGAGGGACAGGGCAGTCAGTTCCAGCTCAAATTAAGGAAGCCCTTCTGCTAGGCCGGTTGTCTGCTCAGACCCCAAGGCCACCCTGGTCATGAGCCCCCTGCCCTGCAGGTGTTTATAGGGAGGCAAGATGGGACGTGAACTGGGTGACACACAGGGGCCCTGGCATTGCGTGGGAATCAGACTGAGCGATCAAGGCTATTTTGTTTCTCGGTGTGTGTGTGTGTGTGTGTGTGTGCACGCGCGCACGCAGGTGACTTGGATATTCTGGGCACAGGCTTTCCGTGGAGGCGCAGGGCATGGAACACAGGGAGGACGAACTCAGTTTCTAGAACTTGGAGCCATCATAGAGGGTGCCCAAGAAGGAAGGGGACTCTGTTCCCTGCCTGTTCCCGGTCTCCGGCAATTTTAATGACCATGTCAGTCACCCGTCCAGCCCATCCCCAGTGGCCTAACAGGAGCCACCCTGGGAAGGGATTCACACGACCCTCTCTGATGCCAGCCGCAGAGCCGTCTGTGAAGTCCTCCTCTCAGGCTGGCTGTCTCATGGTGCTTCTGCCCTGTGCCCAGTGATCTCTCTCCCACCCACCAACCAGCCACCCACTGCCCAGGCAATAACAACGGCACCCAAAAGGGCTTTTATTTTCTGGCAAGTACAATAGGAGATCCCTCCCTTTCCAGACCTGGGAAATCTCTCCCCGTGAAGTAAACCCAGCAAGGCGAACCGGAGACAGGCGACCCAGATCCCGTTTTAACAGCAAAAGGATGTCAGCTGCCGCCAAGCAGAGGGCCTCTCCCACATCCCTTCCCAAATGGGCCTTCCCCAAACAGAACATAGGAGGGCAGTCCAGAAAGACCCGCCCTCGTTGTGTGGGGTGGGCTTGGGGAGGTGGGACTTCATCTGCAGGTAAGCCCGGCTCCAGGTGGCACTGGGGTTTTTATAAGGTGAGGCCGGCGCTGGGGGTCCGGCTCTGCGGGAGAGCACTTGCCTAGCACACAGGAGGCCCTAGGTTCCCTCCCCTGCACTCGCATTTAAAGAAAAAGAAAAGAAAGAAAGAAAAGATAATAAGGAGAAGTGGCTGATGTGTGTGGCTGGGCCCACTGCAGCTGCCTTCTCCCAAACTAAATCAAACAAAAGCCAGCCTCCAGGATCTTACCCTGGAGGATAAGGTGAGAGCCTCTGCCCTGCAGAAACTGCTCGAGGCTGCAGTACCTGACCAGTTCAGGAAATGCAGGAAACCCCCTGCTGTGTTCCTCTTGGACTCCCAGGGCTTGGCAGGGACCACCCCACACTGGCTGCCTCCTGGGCGAAGCTGGATTAGAGAGAAGCAGCACAGGAGAAGGGGTCCGGGTCCCCTACAGCGTGGCTCTTGGCCCCTAGGTTTAGGGCCTTCTGAGACCCTGAATGAGCTTGGTATCCAAGAGCAGGGTGAGCCTGGGTGCGTGTGCAGGTAGCTGGCCCCTTGGCTCTCCAGACCTTTCTTGACCTCAGTCCAAGGTCAAGGGCGGGGATCCCCATTTTCTGTTCCAGGATCTCAGGGTTGTGTGCCAGCATGTGCCCTTGGCATACAGTGGCCATCCAGCCTGTTTTTGGAGAGTGAATGTGTGAAGGATGGGCCTGGGTGGATGACTGGCAGGTGGGCGAGGGCAGGGGGAGGGTGTTACCTGGCTGGATGCTGCCAACCGAGGGAAGGAGACTCAGGAGCCCCCCTCGCTGAAGCCCATAACACCCCACCAATGCCACCTGTTCTTCGCCTCCATCTGGGCTCACAATGACATCCAAATTTGACAGTTGTAGTCCCCAAGCCGATTAGGGCCACAGTCCTTTAGAGCCTCCCTCCCCCGAGAGCCCAGGAGGTGGCTCAACCTCCTTCCTGTCTTCCCGCCCTGCAGTTTCCAGCCTCTGGTTTAGTGGAGCTGTCGCTCGTCTCTGGGGAGACCATGGTTTTCCCGCTAAACCAAGGGTCCAGTGTGGGCTTTCCCTTGGTCCGGGGCTTGCGGGTAGGAACAGAGGGGCCACCACCTGGAACTGTATTGCACTGCTGAGCCGCGGAGGCTGCCTGTCCTCCAGCTTCAGAGCCCATGGTCTCCTCTTTCCTGAGCCTCAAAGCCCCCCATGACAGCATGTGCCCCCAATCCAACAGCTGAGACCCTGTGTCCCTCCAGAAACCGTGGTGTGAGGTTGGGGTTTTCCTTCCTGCAAAGCCATCTGATTGCCCCGCCCTTGATGGGGCCAAGCCAATCACACAGCCATAAACAACCAACGTCCTCAGCCCCTCTCTCTGGGGTCGAGCCTGTGGGTCTGTTCATCTCTCATCAGTTTATGTCTAGTCCTTCCTGTCACGGGGACGGTGAGCACGGGCCCCCGTGCCTGTGTGCTCCCTCCCCCTCCTCCCTCCCTCTCTCTCTCTCTCTCTCTCTTACACACACACAGAAACCAAACAACGGAAATCCCAGTGTCTTTTTATGCATGTGGTGAGATGAAATTGTGATCCTTGTGTGACCTCCAGCTGCTGCCCTGTCTTGTAAAATATGTCCAGATGTTTAAGAATTTCCAAGCAAATGGTCCCTTAACCAAGTCTGCCGAGTTCAATAAAAGGTATGGAGAAAACAAACTCGGTGGTGCTGGTTTGTCTTTGTGGAGGGTACGGGGGGGGGGCAGGGTGGGAAAGGCCATAAGAAGGCTGGGGACCTAAAGGGGCACACGTATGTTTTCTCTTTCCCCCGAAGAGGGAGGGTGTGAAAATGCAGAGCAGTGGCAACCCCCACCCTGGGGGACTGTGTCCAGGCCTTGAAGCCCCACTGTGGTCACACGGCCCTCGGCAACTGTGGCTCTCAGAAAAATGTCTCACGACAGAAGGCAGAGGCTCAAATGCTGACAGGAGACGGGCAGGTGACATAGTGAGTAAAGTAGCCTCCTGTGAGACACTGGGGCGGCAGCGAGTGAGGAGCCTGGACAGGCGCACCCCGAGGAAGCAGGACCCCTCCCTCTGGCCGTGAGCGCGCAGGGCGGCGCTGGATCTTTTGAAGAGAAGCCAGAGATCTGGATTTTCATGGGAAATATCCCAACTTATAAATGTCACCTAGGAATCCCGGGCTTTTAGCCGTACACTGACCAGATGAGCACAAGGCTCGAGGACTTCAGTCTTCGTCTCTTGGTGCTGTGTAACAAGTCACCCCAACGCCCAGCAGGCGGAAGGGGTTGTCACCTCATTCGTGGTGTGTGTAGGACAGGGGCTCAGGATCACCTGCAGCGGGTGGTCCTGGTCGGGGTCTGCCCAGAGGTCTCAGTCCTCTGCTCATCTGGGCCCTGGCGCCTCTGCACTTGGGCCCAGGAGCCTCGCTGCTCTCTGGCTGCGGGCAGGAGGCCTGTGCTGCTCACCCCGCGGATCTCAGTGCAGGGCTCCTGCGTGTCCTGATGGCCCAGCAGCTAGCTTCCTTGAGAGAGTGGCCCAAGGAGACCTCAAGCAGGAAGCCACAGAGCCTTTTGTGACGGTCTCAGAAATCAGACACCCTCACTTCCTCCAAACTCTCCTCCTCAACAGGGAGATACGGAGTCCAGGTCACACTCAGGCGGGTAGAAACCCACCTCTGCAGGGAAAAGTGCCAAAGATTGGGGGGAGGGGCATTTTTTAAAAATTAATTAAGGACTTAATTGTGCAGTGCTGGAGATCTAACCCAGGGCCTCACGAAGCCAGGTGAGAGCTTGCCAGGCCTGGGGACATGTTTGTAAACTACTCATCCTGAAGCCCTGTTTAGCAGAGGGTAGTTTTCCAACCGCAGAATGTCACAGCCCAGGAAAATTTCCCATTGGGTTTGGGCAAGTGTTACTAGCATTTTATTTTTCTACGTAAAGATGGTAATAATAATAATAATAACCTGCTATCATCACCTTGTGAAACAAAGAACATTTCAAATCCCCAAAGTGGATTATCTCAGAATAAGAGACAATCCTTTAAAAGCAAAATTACATTATCAGGAGCTGTAATCCCAGTGACTCAGGAGGCTAAGGCAGGAGGATCACGAATTAGAGGCCAACCTCAGCAATTTAGTGAGGCTCTGAGCAATTCAGCAAGACTCTGTCTCAAAATAAAAAAATGAAAGGGCTGAGATGTGGCTCAGTGGTGACCCTGAGTTCAATGCCCAGTGCCCAAAAACAAAACAAAAAATTTTTTTTGTTGAAGTTTTTAATAGATCAGAGTTTCTCAGCTCAGCCCAATCAACGTTTACGGCAGCACATTCTCTGGGGGGTGTCCCATGCACTGTGCACTGCTCCACAGCATACGACGGGGCCTCTACCGGAGGCAGATGGCACCTCCGTGAAGCTGCAACAATCAAAAATGTTTCTGGACATTGCCAGCTGTCCCTTGAGGGATAAAATCACCTCCAGTTGAAAAATACTGGAGGAGGTACACAGTGCAAGGTCTAAAAGGTTCAGTGAGGAGCAGAATGTCCCTCAGACCTCTGGACCCCAGTCTCCCCTCCTGGAGGCAGTGACCAAGCCAGTTTCTCCTGTGCCCCTGAGATGGTTTATGCAAACACACATTCACACACACACTCACACACTCTCTCACACACACTCTCACACACACACACTCTCACACACACTCACACACACTCATACACACTCACACACTCTCTCACACACTCTCTCACACTCTCTAACACACACACACACTCACAGACCTATGCAGGTTGTTTGGTTTGGGTCTGCTCCACACAAATAGTCACGCGTAGACAGTCCCGCACCCTGCTGCTTTCCCTTATCTACCCTGGAAATCTTCCTATTGAAGGCCGAGCCTCCTCTTTCTTCCCTAAGCCACCCCAGCTGCTCTCCGGCACGTGGTCAGTGCTGATCTCCGGCTGCTGTTCAGGCTGCTTCTGAACTTTGCTCCAACCAACAGCGCAGAAGTGGGTGGCCAGCGGCAGTTCCGGGGGCCCTGCTGCCAACGCTCTGGATCCTGCACCTCTCACCACCCAGCCCACCCTCGGCCGCGCGGCCGCGCTGGTCTGTTGCCTGATTAAAGCAGCAGCCTCCGGAAGAGGCTCCCGGTTTCTGCCCTGGATCCCTTCCAAGCTCTTCTCAACACAGTGGCGAGAGGGGTCCCTTCAAACTGTCACTCTGATCATGTCACTTCACCACCAAAACCTTCCCATCACGTGCTGAATGAGATCCAAAGTCCTTGGCGCAGGGCACAAGGTGACACACCCACTGGCCGGGGTGGCCTCTTCACCTCACCTCCCTGATCTCACCCGGAGGCTCTGCTTGGCCATCGCCCACCTCCTCAAACAGCCCAGCCTGGACCCACCAATGAGGCCGCCCCCTCAGCTCCTGCCTTACAATGCTCCTCCCCCCGCCCGGCTGCCTGTCCATTTCCCACAACGTGGGGCAGGGCGCTCACTGCGCCCCAGGGCCTTTCCCTGCCTGGTCCTTCTACTTGGCCTGGAAGTGCTTCCCAGGCCACCCACACAACGCACAGCTGCACCGACCTCAGGGGCCCCCTGATTACAGCCTTTCACCTGGCAGTCCTACTTATCCTAGCAACCACACACTCACACTCCGCTCCTGTCTTTGCTTTTTCTTTCTCCATGACACTTATCACCTCCTGACACACTGTATTTAATGATTTTGTTTATTATTTATCTCCCTCCAATGAGACGAAAATTCCACAAGATCAAGGATTTTTATTGGTTCTGTTCACTGTTATCTTTCTAGTTCCTGGAAGGACACCAGCATAGAGTAGATGCTCAATAAATAATTTGTTGAGTCTAAAACAGATGCCTGCCTAATAGAGTTATTTCATACTGTGTGTGTATTTCTTTTAAGAAAGATCCTCGGAAGTCAAATTGCTGGGTAAAGGGTTTATATGCCATCTGCAATCTTGGGAGCTATGGTACCAGGGCCACCCGCTGTAGAGGCAGCACTGTGCATACCCCCAGCAGCTTGCGATGAGGCCTGTGGGCCAAGCTCATGGCTTCTCTGAAACCCTCCTCACCTTGTGCTTCATGTCTCTCATTCCTGCGTGGACTGGAGACGTCTTCACCAGGGGACCACAGCGTGCCTTCCGATGGTATTTCAGAGCCTCCAACCACAGGCCGGGTGCCCACAGCCACCTCGGACACACAGGCGGGTGCTCTTGGATGAGCACACTCGGGTCCAGACCCCTACCACTGGCCACAGGCTCCCCTGAGGTTGGCAGCTGAAGAGGAGCCAGGGCCACGTCCTGGGCCCCTCATCAAGCACCAGCTCCACCAGGAGCAGGAGGCTTTCCCAGGACTTCCAGGCCTGCACAGGAGGGTGCAGAAGAACCTCGTGGTCCCCAGCAACACCCTCCCTAGGCCTTAACACATCCTGTACCTTCTGTCCGTCACAGAGCTCAGGCGCGTGATTCTGACACGGCCGAGACACCTTCCCTCCCTCCCTCCTTCCTTTTCCTCCCCTTCTTCAGCCCTCCCTGCCCCCCACCCCGTCCACAGGCACTTACTGGGCACTTACTGTGTAAAAGGCCCTTTGCTGGGTACAGGGAGACCGAGCTGAACTGGGAAAGCCCCTGCCCAGTTATTAGGTGATAATTAAGAAGGAGGTCGCACTCATTGGCTCCAGATCCAGGCCAGGGGCTTCAGAGAACCCCTGACACACGCACAATCAGGGGCACCAGGGCACCCAGGATCTCCTGTGCCCGGGTGTCGCCAAGCCCCTCCTGTGTCCCCTCCTGCAGGCTTCACAAAACCTCCAGGAGGACTTGAGGACCACACCGCACAGCCAGGGAACTGAGGCGGAGGACAGGACTCGCATCCACAGTTCTCCAGCCGGGAAGCCATAGAACGAGGATCCTAACCCAAATCTGTATGATTTTACCCAAGGACAGCCTCTGCCTCACCAGTGTGACACTCATGAGGCCGAAGGGTGGCAGTTCAAGGCACCTGGAAGCCACAGTCCTGACTCCCCCAGGTCTCTGCCTCTGAACCTCAGTGACCCGTCTGCAGAATGGGACAGGGGACTCTGGTCAGCTATAGGAGGGCCAGGAAGAGGGCGAGGAGCCTGTCAGGCGGGTGCCCAAGTCCAGGGCCAGCTCCTGGCTTTGTTTGGAAATGTGTTCATCATGATTGCTGGCGTTAGTTTTCATTTTTAAATATTGCAGTCAGATCCTCTTCACTGTGATGACTGAGGTTTGGCCCCCTGAATCCTGCTTATTTCAATATCTGGGGGATGAGCACGGAGCAGAGCCAGCCCCCTCTTCCTCGAGAGGCCCACCTCCTCGCGGGGGACACTGCCAACAAACAGCCTCAAAGACGGGAGAGTTCTGAGCAGAAAAATAAAATCAGTAAAGAGACCAAGAGAGACATAGGCTAAAAATAGGGCCATCTCACAAGAGCTGGTGCAAAGATCTAAAGAGACACTGTGTGCCCAGGGTCCAGTGGGCGCTGGCACAGTAAGGGCTGCAGAAACACTGGACATGGCTGTGACTCCCGAGCCAGGCTAAAAGGGCACACACAGGCCGCAAGCTCCAGAGCTGTCCCCTTGAAGCTTTCAGCTTGGGGCCAAATTTCCAAAATTGTGTGGGGCTCATAGGGACAGAGGCGCTCCTTTTTTTTTTTTTTTTTGTACCAGGGA